CATCCCTCTATTCTATTCTATTCTATTCTATTCTATTCTATTCTATTCTATTCTATTCTATTCTATTCTATTCTGTTGTTTCTGCTTCCCTGGAGAACCCTGAGTAATACAGTCATTGAGATATTGGAGTTGGTTGTGATGGGTAGTGCTGATGTACTTAATACTTTGTAGTGCCACATAACACTTGGAAGTAAATTGATATGCAGTATGATAAGTCTGATGCTAACTCATGGACTGGATGGTAGAGAAGAATATATGTTGAGAAATCAGGTGAACTGAAGACAGAGCACAAACCTGTATGCCTGCTAAGGCATTTATTCATTGTGTTCTAAAACACAAAGACCAAATAGCCATTTTCTTTTTTTTTTTTTGAGACAGAGTCTCACCATATCACTCAGGCTTGAGTACAGTGAGACACAATCGTGGCTCACTGTAACCTCTACCTCCTGGGTTCAAGCAATTCTCTTGTCTCAGCCTTCATAGTAGCTACAGGCATGTGGCACCATGCCAGGCTAATTTTTGTATTTTTAGTAGAGATGGGGTTTCACCATGTTGGCCAGGCTGGTCTTGAACTCCTGACATCCAGTGACCCACCTGCCTCCCAAAGTGCTGGGATTACAGGCATGAGGCACAGTGCCTGGCCACCAATAGCCATTTTCAAGCATAAGAATATCAAGATGAGCTGTGACTGCCAAATACTTTTTTATTCTCCCTCTTCCCACAGTTTTCTTCCTGACACCATGCTGTGATCACTGTCAGTGTTTAGTAAATAACTATTTAAAGCAAGGCAGGAAGGAGCCATTTGGAAAGTTGTCATCAGCATCTTCATAATTCTGCTGTGCTTAGCAGTTACATGAATTTCATTCTTTATTAATTACACCCATTATTTTGAGTAACGGTGTCAGAATTTCTTACTTGAATTTTTAAAATGTCTGTAGCTTTGCTTTGCTCCCTTTTAACCTTCTTCAAGGGATGCACTAGGTCTCTGCTCATCTTTGGAAGAACTCGCCGAAATAGCTTCAGACTGTGAAATGCATATCTCTTCATGGATTTCTGTAGGATCCTATCAGCAGGAAGCCAGCCTGAGCCTGATGCGAAGTTGGTATATTCTCTTCCTTTCCTAATAAGGGACTCATCTTCTTTTAAGGATGACATTAAAAAGTGAGGTTCAGAGAAGGTGTATACGTCACCATAAACCTTCACATTCTCTTTCTTCTTTCCTTTAGTATAGATTTCTGTGCCTCGTTCATTACATTCAGTGAGAAATCAGCTACACTATCCTCCTTCCCCATCCATTTTCCATGCACTTTGTACGCGACTTCCTTTGCCTCGACTTCTTCATGATTATTCTGCCCAGCGAAATAGACAGCTCCAGGCTGCTCACAGTGTATTTATAGCATCGTTTAGTTAAAGAGGAGACACCAAACAGAAGCGTTTTTATTGTATAAGGTCTTCCCATATTGTCTATGACTAAGAAATTAGTAGACTGACCCATAGTTGAAACTTTCGCTCTCGTATTAATGGTTTGTCCACTTAACTAGTCAGTGACTGCCAGCCTAATTAAAGGATGCTAATGAATAAAAAATGTTATCAGAAAACAATAATTAACCTTGAATATAAAAGCATTAACCAGGGGCAACCAATCACTTTCCAAGGCTTAGTAAACACTTAGAATGCATTAAGTGTCCCTAAAGGAGCAATTAAAGAACACAGCTCTTCTGTTTCAAGCAGAAGTGACAAAGGGTCAGTCATACACAACGTGCAAATTGGGCGGTTGCTGGTGCTGCGCTCACAGAGCCTAAGGCTTTCTCCTAGGTGCGACAGTCACATTTCTAAGCATGCGTTTCTCTAAAAGGATGAATCAGAGGATAAAGTCACCCGACACACACCGCTTTGATCACTGCCTGCTTTGGCTCGTGCCGTTATGTTTTTACCCATATTATAATAACAATAGGAGTAACAATTTACGACGTACCTCGCAAAAGTGCTTTCCTTACAGGTGATAAATACGTGCACTGTTAAAAGTGAGTGGTTGGCTGGGCGAGGTGGCTCACGCCTGTAATCCCAGCACTTTGGGAGGCTGAGGCCAGTGGACCACCTGAGGTCAGGAGTTTGAGACCAGCCTGCCCAACATGGCAAAAACCTCGTCTCTACTAAAAATACAAAATTTAGCCAGGGGTGGTGGTGCGTGCCTGTAATCCCAGTTACTCTGGAGATTGAGGCAGGAGAATCACTTGAACTCAGGAGGGGGAGGCTGCAGTGAGCCAAGATCATGCCACTGCACTCCAGCATGGGCGACGGAGCAAGACACCATCTCAAAAAAAAAAAAAAGTGTGTGGTTATAGAGATTTCACTCCACACTGGTCAGTATTGTGTAGCATTATGTTTTCCCAGCTGTGTTGAGAAAGATTAACATACGATAAGCAGAAATATATGAACTGTACAATTTGAAACATTTTGACATATAATGTTTGACATAATAACATTTTGCATATACACACAGGAAACTGTCACCACAAATACCTATCACCCCTCAAAGTTTTCTGTTTTTCTTTGTAATTCCTCATTCTCCAAGCCCCTGACCCCTTTCCAAGCAAGCACTGATCTCTCTGTCACTACAGATTAGTTGACATTTGCAAAACTTTAAATAAATGAAGACATATATTATCTTTTGCTCAGGACACTGACTTTGAGATTCTCATTTTATACAAGCCTCAGTTCTCAATATATTACAGCCAAGAGATTCTGACAAAGTCGACAAGAACATACACTGGGGAAAGAACACGGTCTTCAATACGTGGTGCTGGGAAAGCTGGATATCCATACGCATATGAATGAAACTGGACCCCTATTCTCTCACCATATACAAAAATCAACTGAAGATGGATTAATGACTTAAAAGTGAGACACTGGACACAGCGTCTCATGACTGTAATCTCAACATTTCGGGAGGCCGAGGTAGGAAGATCAGTTGAAGCCAGGAGTTTGATGCCAGCCAGAGCAAATAATGAGAACCCAACTCCATATAAAAAAAAATGAAAGCAAGACTCAAAACTATAAAAATATTAGAAGAACACATAGGGGAGACACTTCAGGACATGGTTCTGGGCAAATTTTATGAAAAAGTCTATGGCTAAGGAAATAACAGAATGAAGAAACATGTGAAGAAACATATTTGTAAACTATGCATCTGACAAGAGATTAATATCCACAACATATAAGGAACACAAACACCACAACAGCAAATAATAATAAAATAAAAATAATAATCTGGCTGATTTGAAAATCAGTAAAGGATCTAAATAGAGATTTCTCAAATGAAGACACACAAATGGTCAGTAAGTTCAGGAAAACATGCTCAACATCACTAACCATTGGGGACAGGCAATCAAAACCACAGTGAGATGTTACCTCACCCTGGTTAAAATGCCTACCAAAAAAAATAAATAAATAAACAGAACAAGAAATGCTGGCAAGAATGCAGTGAAAGGAGAGCTTCTGCATACTACTGATGGAAATGCAAATCGGTACACTTATTGTGGGAAATGGTACGGAGGTTTCTCAAAAATTAAAAATAGAACTATCATATTATCCATCAATCCTACTAGTGTGTATATACCCAAAGGAAATGAAATCAGCATATCTGATTTCATGTATCCCATTTCAGTATATGGGATATCTGCACCCCATGTTCATTACAGCATTATTCACACTAAGCAAGCCGTGGAATCAACCTAAGTGTCCCTCAGTGGCTGAGTGGCTAAAGAAAATGGTGCATATGTGCATGGTGGAATACTATTCAGCCATAAAAAAGATGAAATCCTGTTTTTTGTAACAACATGAATGAACCAAGAAAATAATTATGTTAATGAAATAAACCAAGCACAGAAGGACAAATCTTGTTTGATCTCATCCATATGCAGAATCTAAAAAATACTGATCTCAGAAGCATACAAAAGAACAGTGGTTACCAGAGACTGGCGAGTGTAGGAGGGGAAAGGGAAGGAAGGAGAGGTTGGTCAGTGGGTACAAAGCTGCGGTTAGACGGGAGACATACATTCCAGTGTGCTACTGCATGAGAGTGACTACAGTGGACAACGTTGCACGGTACACTCCAAAGTAGCTCCAAGAGAGGATTTTCAGTGTTCTTACTACAAAGAAACGGCAGGGTTTGAGACGCTCCATATGCTAACTATTCTGATTTGATCATAATGCACACCAAGCCTCACACTATATCTCATAAATATATGTAATTATTATGTGTCAAGGAAAAACAAAATAAAACTTATTACAAAAAGAGTACGATTTGACCACCACCCTCGTCCCCTCCTTGATTCTCCTGGTGCCTTATGCCTGGTTTATCTCCTCTCCCACTGGGGTTAGTTGCTTCGCTGCTGCAGCTGGAGGTGGGCTTGCCTGGGCAGAGGCAGGAATCATCCACGGCCATCCCTGGAGGCAGGATCTGACTTCCCCCAGAGGTCCCAGAAGCTGGACACTGAGCTTCTGGGACAGATTCAGTGTCCTAATATTCCCCACTGGGAACCAGCTGGGGAGGTAGTGTGTATACTCTTCTATCCCAGATAGCCCTTTCTCCATTCTTTTTTCTTTTTTTTGAGACAGAGTTTCGCTGTTGTTACCCAGACTGGAGTGCAATCGCATGATCTCGGCTCACCGCAACCTCCGCCATCTGGGTTGAAGCAATTCTCCTGCCTCAGCCTCCTGAGTAGCTGGGATTATAGGCGCACGCCACCATGCCCAGCTAATTTTTGTATTTTTAGTAAAGTGAACTCACATAGATAAGTATTCTCTTAACAACAGCCACAAAACAGATTTACTCCTTTTCTCAGTCAAATGAAGATGGACTTCCTTATTTTCTCAAAGGGAGCATTAATTAAAAGTGATTTGAGCAAAGGATGGAGGCAACTGTTCACTGAGTTCCCCCTCTGCGCCAGACATGCTAAGCCTGACGGAATCCCATCCCATGGAGTATGTGTTTTTACCTCCACTTTATGGGTGAAGAAACTGAGGCCCAGAGGGGTCAATGACTTGCTCTTGTTCATCCAGAGAGTGACTGAGGGAGAAGGAATCGAGACTCTGCTGGGCTTGGCTCCAACACAAAGGCTGTTTCCAGGCCATTGTGCTGTGTATCTCCGGAACAGGATGATGTATAGGACAGACCTGGCAAAATAAACACATGACACTGTAAACATCAGACAAGTCAGATATTTGTCAAAGCAAATGAATTCTAATGCGAGCTGGAACAGGAGAGCTCTCCTGTCTCTGAAACCTCCATCCTACCCTTGAGTGAACAGAGTAATTATTGGTCGAGGCAAAATCACGGCATCTGTATAACTCATTAGCTCTTATTTGTTTAAAGTCTGATGGTGTATGACAAAAGAATTTGTTCCAGATGTCACATCGGCACAATAGAGCTTAACAGCCTGTGTTAGAAAAGCTCCACTGCAGGAAGACACAGGAGGCCGCCAAGGCAAAACAGAGCAGCTGGTCAGGACCAGCAGAACCCATCAGAGAGTCCCCACCTCTGGGCCAGGGACGTCTCCACAACCCACTCCCCAATCCACTTTCTGTCCCTCCTCGGCCATAAATTATTTGCCTATGACTCTGAATGTTAATGCTTTTTCCATTCCCTGAAGTTAAGGTATTTAAAGGGATTATTGATGTGTTTGATGCTGGAAAAATATCTTATCTGAAAAAAATATATAGACATGAGGACTAAGTTCTGAGTTATAAAATCTTGCCCAAATTCCTATCTAAGGGGTCTGGGGAGTCATGCCGCAAATTCCATAAATTCTCATGAGATGGGTTTTATTTAACCCTATATATCGTGACTTTGGTCTGACTCTGGCATAACATTATGTGACAAAGAAGAAAGTCAAAATATTTTACCCCAAAACATGTTTCTTTGCCATATCTTGAAATGGCCCTGCCAAGCTATCCTTTGTAGGGGAAAATCTGCATCTGTGAAGAATCTATGTTCACATAGTGCTCAGTCTTTCTCTTCCAGGCCCTCTGAACCCTAAAAAGATTAACTGAGAGTCTAGCGCCTTTTAAAGATCTGAATAGGAAGCATTAGTCATCTGCTGTCTCTAAGGGCAGCCACCAGGAGACTTCAAAAGAACCTTGGTCTCCACAATTTTGTCTTAACCTGTACATTTCCTTTCTATGGATTCCAGGTCTTTACACAACTCGACCAACTGTCAACCAGAAAATGTTTACATTTACCTATAGCCTGGAAGCCTCTGCTTTGAGTTGTCTTGCCTTTCTGAATGTATTTCTTTTTTTTTGAGACAGTTTGGTTCTTGTTACCCAGGCTGGAGTGCAATAGCGCGATCTCGGCTCACTGCAAACTCCGTCTCCTGGGTTCGAGCAATTCTCCTGCCTCAGCCTCCCAAGTAGCTGGGATTACAGGCGTGCACCACCATGCCCGGCTAATTTTGTATTTTTAGTAAAGATGGGGTTTCTCCATGTTGGTCAGTCTGGTCTCGAACTCCTGACCTCAGGTGATCTGCCCTCCTCAGCCCCACAAAGTGCTGGGATTATAGGTGTGAGCCACCATGCCCGGCTTCTGAATGTATTTCTTAAGTGCATTTGATTGATGTCTCATGCCTTCCTAAAATGGATAAAACCAAGCTGCGCCCTGACCACCCTGATTCATGTTCTCAGGCCCTCCTGAGGGCTGTGTCATGAGCCATAGTCACTCACATTTGGTTTAGAATAAATCTCTTCAAATATTTTACAGAGTTTGTTTCTTTTCGTTTGTTTCTTTTCATATATATGTCTATATTTTTTAATTGCATAAGTTAAATTACCAAATTCAGTATGTTTTGCTCACTGCTTGTCAGAAAGCTCAGTGCCCAATTTCCTACTCAAGTGCAAAGTGCTTCATTGCCTAATTTCCTCATAAAATTATATGCTGTATTAGAATTCTTCAGAGACACAGAGATTATACATAACGTCTGCCACAGTTACCTGCACTTCCTGTCAGGTCTCCACATGCAAGCCTGGAGCCTGAAAGTCGGAAGTCCTTCTTGCCTCCGGCTGAAGTCTCCCACCCTGATTGTCCAGCGGAGCTTCTCACAAGCTCCTCACCCAACCCTGCCATCTTAACTGTTCTTATGATAATGTAAATACATTATCGTAAGTGCAACCTCCACCTCCAGGCTTCAAACAATTCTCCTGCCTCAGCCTCCTGAGTAGTTGGGATTACAGGTGCACAGGACCATGCCCAGAAAATCTTTGTATTTTAGTAGAGATGGGGTTTCACCCCATTGGCTAGGCTGGTCTTGAACTCCTGACCTCAGGTTTCCACCGGTCTTGGCCTCCCAAAGTGCTGGGATTACAGGCGTGAGCCACCACTCCTGGACTTTACCCAGATTCCTAAGAGCAGCTCCTCTCCACTCAGTCCACTGATTCCAATGCTAATCTCCAGAAACCCCCTCACAGACACCACCAGAGGTAATGTTTTGCTAGCTGCCTGGGTATCCCTTAACCTAGTCAAGGTGACACACAAAATGAACTCTTACCTATGCGCACCCTGTTACATGTCTCCTTTTATCACCATTTAAATTCTCCTCTATCGTTTGTATGAACTGTTATTCCCTTTATCCTGGTTTATTATTCCCTTGGTGATTATCACCACCTGGCATATTATTTATTTGTAAATCAATTTGTTATCTCTCTCCTAACTCAAATGTAAAAACCAGAACTATAAAAATCCTGGAAGAAAACCTAGGCAACTTCATCTTGGACCTAGGAATGGGCAAAGATTTCATGACAGAGACACCAAAAGCAATCACAACAAAAACAAAGACTGACAGGTGGGATCTAATTAAACTTAAGAGCTTCTGCACAGCAAAATAAACTATTAACAGAGTAAGCAGATGACCTACAGAATGGGAGACAATATTTGCAAACTATGTATCTGACAAAGATCTAGTATCCAGCATCTATAAAGAATTTAGACCAATTTATGAGAGAAAAACAAACCACCCAATCAAAAAGCGGGCAAAGGATGTGAACAGACATTTTTCAAAAGAAGACATACATGTGGCCAACAAGCACTTTAAACAAGCTCAGTATCACTGATTATTTGAGAAATGCAAATCAAAACCACAACAAGATACCATTTGACACCAATCAGATTATTAAAAAGTCAAAAAATAACAGATGCTGGCAAGGTCGCTGAGCAAAGGGAACACCTATACATCGTTGGTGGAGTGTAAATGAGTTCAACAGTCGTGGAACGCAGTATGGTGATTCCTCAAAAAGCTAAAAGCAGAACTACCATTCAACCCAGTCATCCCAATGCTGGGTCTACACCCAGAGGAATATAGATCTTTCTACCAAAAAGACACATGCACATCAATGTTCCTTGCAGCACTGTTTACAATAGCAAAGGCATGTCATCAACTTGAATGCCCATCAATTACAGATTGGATGAAGAAAATGTGGTACATATACACCAGGCAATACTATGCGCCCATAAAAAAGAATGAGATAGTGGGTTTTGCAGGAACATGGATGAAGCTGGAGGCCATTATCCAGGAACAGGAAACCAAATACTGCATGTTCTCACTTGTAAGTAAGAGCTTAATGTTCAGAACTCATGAACACATAGAGAAGAGACACTCAAAAAGAAATTCAGGGCATTATGAATACTGTGCACTCCTATTATTAATACATTGTAATATATAATAAAATAATTACAGAACTCACCATAATGTGGAATCAATGGGAGACTCGAGTTCATTTTTCTCCCATCTGGAGGTGATGGGAGACAGTGAAAGATCATCAGGCATTAGATTCTCACAAGAAGCGCGCAGCCTGGCTCCCTCCTGTGTGCAGTTCACAGCAGGTTTCACGCTCCTATGAGAATCTAATGCCCTCGCTGATCTGACAGGAGGCAGGGCTCAGGCGGGAATGTGAGCGATGGGGAGCAGCTGTAACTACAGGTGAAGCTTCTCTTGCCTGCCACTCACCTTCTGCTGTGCAGCCTGGTTCCTAACAGGCTCGGAGGACCGGCTGCAGTCTACACCCTGGGTAACCTGTGCTGGCGGGTTCCATGGCTTTCAGCTTCAGTCTTGTTGGAGCTGCCTGCATTATTATGGCTTCCCAGCCAGGCATTCACTGATAGAAGACAACGCTGCCCTCCAGCTAGGTCTGCTCAACACCTATTGTTGAACTGGAGTGGTTTGTGCAGCTGACTTTCAGCCCGTCTCCATCAGCTCAAATGCTCACACGTTTTCCAACCCTAGCGCCTTTTTATTTTCCCTTTCACATCTCCGTGCTCCTCTCCAATCCTCCAAGCACAGTTATCTGAACTTGGCTGTTGCAAAGATTTCTTCTGTGTCTTTGGGATCTCTGTGCTGGTGCTGTTTCAATCAGTCTGAACTTCCCTTTGTCCAAGGCTGCCCCTCCCTGCTCTCCAACCCCTCCTCTCAATTCTTTTTCCCTTAACTCCTTCCTTTGCCACCATGCGGTTCTCAGCCAGGTCAAGCTAAGTGCTCTGTAGCACACAAGCCCCGAGACTCAGTGGCTTAAACCCAGATCACAGCCCAATGTGCGTCCACGGGGTAGTTGATGAAAAGAGTCAAACTCTAAACTGTTTGAAGAGATCTCTTCCGAGCCAAATATGAGTGACCAATGCTCACTGACAGAGTCCTCAGGAGATCCTCAGAACATGTGCCCAAGGTGGCCGGGCCACAACTACATTTTTTGTTTTTGCTTTTTACATTTTAAGGAGAGATAAGGCATCAATCAATACACAGAACACATACACTGAGTCAGTCCAGAAAGGTTGAACAAATGGAAGTAGGAGCTTCCGCGCTGCAAGTGGATGCAAAGATCTTTGGATTGGCAGTTGGTTGAAAGTGTTATTACCAATAGGAAGGAATGTCTGGGTTAGGGTTACAGTAAGGGGTTGTGGAGACTGAGGCGGTATCAGGTGGATGAAGCCTCCAGGTGGCAGGCTGCAGAGAGAATAGAGAGCAAGTGTTTATCAGACTGAAAGAACCTGTTTCATCAGTAATTCCAAAAGGAAGGAGGGGATGATGAGGCACATCTGGCTCCGCCTTCCCATCATGGCCTGAACTGGTGTTTGCAGATTCACCTTGGGGTGCTTTTGTCAGAGAGAAGGGATCCATTCAGATGGTTTGGGGAAGAGCTTAGAATTTTTTTTTTTTTTTTTTGGATTACAGGTTCATTCAAAGACCCACACTCGGCCGGGTGCAGTGGCTCACGCCTGTAATCCCAACACTTTGGGAGGCTGAGGCGGGCGGATCTAGGGGTCAGGAAATCGAGACCATCCTGGCAAACATGGTGCAAACCCTGTCTCTACTAAAAATACAAAAATTAGCTGGGTGTGGTGGCGCACACCTGTAGTCCCAGCAGAGATCATACCACTGTACTCCAGCCTGGGCAACAGAGCAAGACTACATCTCAAAAAAAAAAGGAAACATTCATCTTCTCACGAGTCTTTGTATTAAAAGAAAATTCATAAGGTTAACCTCCTTACTTCAAGCGAGAAGGCATTTACTGAAACATTCATAAATGTGTTCACTCCGAGGAAGACATGACATAAAGCCCCACACTCTGCTATCCCCGAGTACCCGCAGAGTTCTCCCCTAGTACCTGCAGACATTCTGCAGCCGCTAGAGATACAAGGGGTAGAAAGGGGTGGAGCAAGCGTCAGCCTGCTCATAGCCCATCGTCCAGAACTCAGCCACAGCGCCCTCCACTGCAGGGGAAGCTGGGAGGGTTGCCTGGCTCTGTGCGCAGGAGGAAAAGAGGGTGAACATTGAGCAGGCTTTGCCCCAACTAAGATCACAGGATCTATTGAACATGACCTTATATATACATATTTGCAAGTCCTGGGATTATTCTGTGGTTACAGGGACTAGGCTAGAGGAAAGAATGGGGTAGATTTAATATTGGAAAGTCAGTTACTTCATAGCTGTGGTGGCTTGATTGGCGGAGATTAACTAAAAGATCCACGTTGTTCCATGATACTCATCGCATTATTTATGCCGTACCATGCACTGTTTTCTTTCGCTTTTGTTTTGTTTTTCAAGATCAAAGTTTTGCTCTGTCACCCACGCCAAAGTGCTATCGCTAACTCTGCTCACTGCAACCTCCGCCTCACAGGTTCAAGCAATTCTCCTGCCTCAGGCTCCCAAGTAGCTGGGATTACAGGTGCCCACCATCATGTTGGCTAATTTTTTTTTGTATCTAGCAGAGATGGGGTTTCACCATGTTGGCCAGGCTGGTCTTGAACTCCTGACCCCAGGTGATCCCACCAGCCGCGGCCTCCTTAAGTGTTGATTACTGGTGTGAGCCACCGTGCCCAGCCCATGAACTGTTTTCTAGGCACTTAGATATTATTTACATCACAATATCTCTGTGCCATAGGTACTACCGTTGTTCCCACTTTACAGATGAGCAAACTGAGGAAGAGACGTGGGTAACTTCCTCAAGATCACGCAGCTAATATATGGTAGAGCTGAGATCTGAACCCTGTCACTCTGACTCCCTAGGATCTATGCATATGGCAATTGAGCATATTCACAACTGGGATATTCTGCCCTAAAATGGGATGTGGTCAGCCAAGGCGTTTTCTTGGAGGCTAAAATATACGTGTGAAGATGTGAGCGTCCCATCCACAAGCGTTGAGATATGCTGCATTTTTATGGCCCACATGTAGGAGGAGCCCATTCTCCTACTTTTCCATCTCTTTTTTATTTTTTAAATTTATATTATTTATATTTAAAAAATAGAGATGGGGGCGTCTCACTGTGTTGATCAGGCTGGTCTCAAACTCCTGGGCTCAAGCGATCTTCCTACCTCAGCCTCTCAAAGTGCTGGTATTACAGGCACGAGCCTTTAATTAATTTCATTTAATTGAGATGGAAGGCACCTAGGCTTTTCAGTCTTTTTCTTACACAAATGGTTATAAAAGACAGCTGGTGTTTAGCAGTTTGCTCTTTAAATTGTATCTGCTGACGCTGAGGGTTATAAAAGAGGAATCAGAATGCTTCACCTTCCAATTTCTGTGCTCCTTCTGAATCTCAGCATTTCAACCATTAAAAGATGTTTAATGAGTACCTACTATGTGCCAGCCATTTTTCCAGGTACCAAGGATTGCAGGAGATGGAGAAAATGTGACAACTAAATGCAATGAGTGCTCCTGGGTGGCATTTTAGATCCTTAAGGAAAAGAGGCATCATGGAGCAATAAGCCAAGCATATCAAGTGCTCACCTCTCAGCTGCCAATAGGTCATTACCTAGTATGATATCAGCTGCTTATGAGTGACTCAAAGAAAACTGATAGAAACAAGGATGGCCAGGGGCATTGTCTCCTAAGGATATTTAGGCTAAGACATGAATGGCACAAGAGAATCCACCCTTTTAAAATGTGGAGTGAGAGGCTGGGTGTGGTGGATCACATCTGTAATCCTAGCACTTTGGGAGGCTGAGGCAGGAGGATTGCTTGAGGCCAGGGGTTTGAGACAAGCCTGGGCAACATAGGGAGACCCCATCTCTACAAAAAACAAATAAAAAAAATTAGCCAGGTGTGGTGGTAAATGCCTTCAGTCCCAGCTACTTGAGGGGCTGAGGTGTGACGATCACTTGATCCCGGGAGGTTGAGGCTGCAGTGAAGCATGATCGCACCACTGCACTTCAGACTGGGTGACAGAGCAAGACTCTGCATTAAAAACAAGTGAGATGAGACAATTCAGGAGGGAGTAATAGCATATTCAAAAACTCTGAGCCAACAACTTCTTCTCTGTTGATAATTATAGAAGTTTCTTTTCCTTTACATTTTCGTGTGTGTGTGTGTGTGTGTGTGTGTGTGTGTGTGACAGTCTCACTCTGTCGCCCAGGCTGGAGTGCAGTGGCATGATCTCGGCTCACTGAAACCTCCACTTCCTGGATTGAAGTCATTCTCCTGCCTCAGCCTCCCGAGTATCTGTGATTGCAGGCACCCACCACCACGCCAGCTAATTTTTGTATTTTTTTTTTTTGTTTTTTTTGAGACAGAGTTTTGCTGTTGTTACCCAGACTGGAGTGCAATGGTGCGATCTCGGCTCTCCGCAACCTCCGCCTTCTGGGTTCAAGCAATTCTCCTGCCTCAGCCTCCCGAGTAGCTGGGACTACAGGCACACACCACCATGCCCAGCTAATTTTTGTATTTTTAGTAGAGACGGGGTTTCACCTTGTGGACCAGAATGGTCTCAATCTCTTGACCTCGTGATCCACCCGCCTCAGCCTCCCAAAGTGCTGGGATTATAGGCATGAGCCGCCACGCCCGGCCTTAATTTTTGTATTTTTAGTAGAGACAGGGTTTCACCATGTTGGCCAGGCTGGTCTCAAACTCCTGACCTCAGCTGATCTGCCAGCCTTGGCCTCCCGAAGTGCTGGGACTATGGGCACGAGCTACTGCGCTCAGCCTATTTTCTATTTTCATAAGTCTGTTATATTTATTAGCTGAAGTTTTACTATAAGGAAGAGCTTTCTTTCTCTATTTATATATATCAGAATGAACCCAGAGATTGTTATTTGATTGAATGGATTATAATCTAGAATACTTACTGTTTTGAAACCATTTTTTAAAAATGTAGTCCAACAGTTAAATTGATTCGATGTTTACAGCCAGCCAGGCTGTTTACCATAGCGTTACTGTTCATTTCTCGGTTGGCTGAAGTTTATCATCTAGTATTTCTGTAACAAGATGCTGTGGGATTTATTTTTCTCTAAATTCTTACCCACCTTAAAATGGTCTTTTTCTCTGTAACAACTTTATTGAGTTATAATTCACATACCATGAAACTTATCCATTTAAGCATTGTACAGTCCAATGCTTTTTGGTATATCCACAGAGTTGTCAAACTATCATCAAAATTTTAGAACATTTTTATCACTTCAAGAAAGAATCTGAGGCCGGGCATGGTAGCTCATGTCTGCAATCCCAGCACTTTGGGAGGCTGAGGTGGGCGGATCATGAGGTCAGGAGTTCGAGACCAGCCTGACCAACATGGTGAAACCCCATCTCTAGTAAAAATACAAAAATTAGCCAGGCATGGTGGCAGCTACTCAGGAGACTGAGGCAGGAGAATTGCTTGAAACTGGAAGGCAGAGGTTGCAGTGAGCTGAGATCGCAGCATTGCATTCTAGCCTGGGTGAAAGAGCAAAACTCCATCTCAAAAAAAAAAAAAAAACAACCAGAAAAGAACCCAGTATCCGCATCTGCCCAACCTTCACCTGCCTCCCAAACCTAGGTAACAACTAATGTACTGTACTTTCTGTCTCCACAGATTTGCCTACCCTGGACATTTTATGTAAACGGAATCATACAATATGTGGTCTTTTGGACTGACTTCTTTCACTTAGCACGTTTTCAAGTTTCACAGATGTGGTAGCAGGTATCAGTAGTTCATTCGTTTCTATGTTAAATAACATTCCATTATATGAATACACCACAGTTTGTTTATCCATAATGTGTGTTCTTTCTACGTTTTTTGGCGATGATAATAAGGCTGGTATAAACATTTGTATAAAGTTTTTGTGTGGACATATATTTTCATTTCTCCCGGATACATGCCTTGAAGTGGAATTTGCTGGGCCATGTAGCAATTCCGTGATTAACACTGTATCAACCAAACTGTCCTCCAGAGTGGCTTCACCAGTTTACATTCTTACCAGCAACGCCCAAGGTTCCAATCTCTCCCCATCCTGACCAACACTTAGTATTAGCTCTCTCTCTCTGTTTCATTATAGGCATCCTAGTGGGTATGAAATATAATTTCATTGTGGTTTTGATTTGCTTTTCCCTGGTGGGTGCTTTGTACATTTTCTTTGGAGAGCTGTCTTTCCATGTTTTGCCCATTTTTAAATTAAGCCATGTTCATGCCATTACACTCCAGCCTAGGCGACAGAGTTAGACTCTACCTCAAAATAAATAAATAAATAAATGAAAAAGAAAAAGAAAATTTACAAATAGCCCATGGAAAAATGAAAACTCACAAAGTGAGAGACAGGGTCTGTTTGTCACCCACGCTGAAGTGCAGTGGTACAGTCATAGCTCACTATAGCCTCAACCTCCCCAGGCTTAGGTGATCCTCCCACCTCAGTCTCCTGGTGCATACAGGTATGCACCACCATGCCTGGCCAGTTTTTTTGTATTCTTTTGTACAGACAGGATCTTGCATGTTGCCCAGGCTGATCTCAAAGTGATCTGCCCACCTTGGCCTCCCCAACGTGCCGGGATTACAGGCATGAGCCACTGCACCCAGCTGTTTTGTTTGCTGTTCTCAACTCTTTTCTTCTTAATAATTCCTGTGCTCTCAGATATGCTAATTCTTCTTTGTCCTTCCTTTAACACGGCTTGTATTTCTCAGTAGCTTTATCTTTCTCTTCTTCTTCCTGCTTGTTCACTTCTTTCATCCAGCTTACATTTCATCTCTGCTGTCTTGCCCTATCTTCTCTGCATGCTGCTATTTCTGCTTGAGCTGTGGTTTTATAAATGCCTCATTAAGCTTTGCTTTACTGAATGAAAGCCTGGTGACACTGGTCCTCTTGCCAAAGACCCTATTTTCTCCCATGCATTTCTCATTTGCCGTTTCCCTCTGTCCCTTTCCTCCTGTTTTCTTTCATAGCTTCTATCTTAGTCTCTTTTATATTATGGTTTGTCTTTGACTGAAATGAGCTTTTTTTTTTTTTTTTCTGAATACAATTTACAGAAGCATCCTCCTGTGGTGGGAGGGCCGGGGGCTGTGATTTAGGCCAGAAGTTATTCTCCCTGCTTAGGACTCCTGATGCCCACGTAAGCAGACCCTGACTCCTCCAAGGCAGCAGGAGCCCTCTCGTTCCAGACCCTGTGCCTCACCCTGCCTCAGGGATGGACTTCTTCCTGTAATGGGGATGCATTTGTCACAGGGCTGTTCATTTTAAAGTGTTCTTAAGCATCCACAGAAAATGAGTCTAACAATATGACATCTGTGGCTGTCTCTGCAGTGTGTTGTTATAGGATGCTTTTATTCTTTTTCATTGGTTTGTTGGACTTTTTATATCTTCTTTTCTTTTGAGACAGGGTCTCGCTCTGTCACCCAGGCTAGAGTGCAGTGGTGCGACCTTGGTTCACTACAACCTCCACCTCCCGGGTTCAAGTGATTCTTCTGCCTCAGACTCTTGAGTAGCTGGAACTACAGGTGCGCACCACCACGCCTGGCTAATTTTGGTATTTTTAGTAGAAACAGGGTTTCACCATGATGGTCAGGCTGGTCTCGAACTCCTCACCTCAAGTGATCTGCCTATCTCTGCCTCCCAAAATGCTGGGATTAAGGGCATGAGCCACTGCACCCAGCCTATATTTTCATTTTTAACAAAAATGTATATTCCTTCTATAATCGTAAAATCAATACATTTTATTAAAAATGGAAGTTTAATCAGTACGAAAATAGAATGACTAATTGTTATTTGAGAGCACAACAGGGTGACTATAAACAATAACTTAATTTTACGTTTTATTTTCATTAATTAATTTTTATTTTTTAATTTATTTGAACTTTTATTTTTAAGTTCAGTGTACAAGTGCAGGTTTGTTACCTAGGGAAGCTTGTGTCATGGGGATTTTTTATACAGACCATCTCATCACCCAGGTATTAAGCCATTTTCATTTTTCTGGATCCTCTTCCTCCTCCACCCTCCACCCTCTGAAAGGCCCCAGGATGCGTAGTTTTCCCCATACGTCTATGTGTTCTTATCATTTAGCTCCCACTAATAAGTGAGAACATGCAGTATTTAGTTTTCTGTTCCTGCATTCGTTTGCTGAAAATAATGGCCTCTAGCTCCATCCATGCCCCTACAAAGGACATGAGCTTGTTCTTTTTTATGGCTGCATAGTATTCCGTGGCATGTATGTGCCACATTTTTTTATCCAGTCTATCATTAATAGACATTTATGTTGATTCCATGTCTTCGCTATTGTGAATGGTGCTGCAATGAACATATGCACACATGTGCCTCTATAATAGAATGATTTATATTCCTTTGGGTATATACCCAGTAATAGGATTGTTGGGTCAAATGTATTTCTGTCTTTAGGTCTTTGAGGAATTGCCACACTGTCTTCCACAATGGCTTAACTAATTTACAGTCCCTTAATTTTACATTTTAAAACAACTTGAGGGTAATTGGATTGTTTGTAACTCAAAGGATAAATGCTTGAGGGATGAACAGTCTCTTCTCCATGATGTTCTTATTTCACATGCTTGTATCAGAACATCTCACGTACCCCATAAATATATACACCTACTATGGACTCAAAAATAAAACATAACATAACATAAATAAAGGCGGCTGGCCACAGTGGCTCACACCTGTAATCCCAGCACTTTGGGAGGCCAAGGCGGGCGGATCACCTGAGGTCAGGAGACTGAGACCAGCCTGACCAACATGCAAAAACCCCGTCTCTACTAAAAATACAAAATTAGCTGGGAGAGGTGGTGCATGCCTGTCATCCCAGCTACTCAGGAGGCTGAGACAGGAGAATCACTTGAACCCAGGAGGTGGAGGTTGTGGTGAGCCAAGATTGTGCCATCACACTCCAGCCTGGGCAACAAGAGCAAAACTCCAGCTCAAAAAATAATTAATAGATAAAGCGATGATCCTCCCATGCTCCCTCAAAAAGTGAAGTTTGCACAGCTACAGTGGAATGAAGGACAGACTTGTGTGTGGGGCGGAGGAGTCAGATCTACAAGCCATATCTCTGAAGCGCCCAGCACACATAGACAATGATGGGAAAACTGGTGTCATAGAGTTCAGATCTAGCAATACAAGAGGAGCCACTGCAGTGAAATCTTTGGACTAAGGAAAAACAAAAAGAAATCCCAACGTGATGCTGGACAGGGTTATCATCATAGTAACGATAATTCCCATGTGAGAGGGAGCTAGAGCTCTGACAGGTCTGGTTAATTTCCCCAAGGCTCTCTCTCCTTTGTAAAGATGCCGATTAAATCCTGCTTTTCTAATTCCACGTCCCCAGGACTATCTAATCCTTCTTGCCCACTTATTAGCTCTCCAGCTGGGGTGACTCAGAATACGGTGATGCTATTCACCAAGAGAGGGAAGACGGAGGAGGGAGAGATAATGAGCCCTGTTTTGGTCAGGATGAGTTACTGTGAATGTCAGACTGGCAGCTCCGCTGCTGGAATAACACGAAGGGAGATGCATCATTTTATGTGAAATCCCACTGTTTCTGTCACCTCGTTCCTGTCAGTCAAACCAGGAAAGAAAATCATGTTTCTAGAACGCTGCTGGTGTCTGTCTTCCTCCCAGGATGAAACCACCTAGTGAGGATGACACTGGCAGTGAGGCTCTGACAGCGCCTTCTCTGAGTCTTCCACGAGCCAAATAGCATCAGGATCATTTCTTGGCATCCACCTTGCTCCCAGCTCTTGGTCGGGGGCATTTCCGGCACCCTCGGGGATGGAGGTGGACTGGGCGAGCAATGACAGCCTTACTGAATTATCCCTGAACCTCAGAGATTCACCTTCCCTGTTGCGGCCCTGAGCAGCTAGCCTTGTGGGAATTTTACCACGGCTGAGGTTTTTCCTTAAGATTGACAAACACAGCATCTGGAATGATTCTGTTTTTTTACACAGATCGTTTTGCCAAGACTGATTATGAAGGTTCCAGAACAACCACCACAACAAAAACATATCTAGCCAAACGATTGCAACCTGTGTGTAATACACTTTTTGCAAAAGACTCAGTTGTTGAACTGCAAGCCTATTTTTTAAGCACTTCTACATGGAAAACAATAGTAGTGTACTATTTGCTTTTTCAGTTGAGATCGTATTATATGCCTGCAACCTATATATTTTTATTTTTGTATCAGATGTGAATTTAAACTCAGACTCTGCCACTTTTCCGTTCTGTTCCCTTGGGTAAGTTAGTTTCTAACCTTAATTGCCTCATGTACGAAATCGTTATAACAATATCAATTTCATCATACTCTTGTGAGGACCCTATTAAATGAAATAATACATAGAAAACATTAGCACAAATCTTGGAGCATCGAAAGTGCAAAATAAATAGCAGCTATTATCAATACGCTTTTGCAAAAGACAGTATTGACACAATTTCCACAATTGTATACATCCGATGCTCTTTCATGAAGACATTGCCTTGTACACAATTCCAGTGTGGTTTTAGCGTTTGAGAATGAATGGGGCTGCCATGATGCATTTAAAGGTCTTTCTTCTTGGGTCTTCCTCTACAAGACTGCACAGAACTCCCTACTCCAGCATTTATGCCAGTAGAGTATGTTATCAACATCGAATAATAGGCGGGTGGATCACCTAAGGTCAGGAGTTTGAGACCAGCCTGCCCATCATGGCGAAACCCCATCTCCACTAAAAATACAAAAAATTAGCTGGGTGTGGTGGCCGGCACCTGTAATCCCAGCTACTTGGGAGGCTGAGGCAGGAGAATCACTTGAACCTGGAAGGCGGAGGTTGCAGCAAGCCGAGATTGTGCCATTGCACTCAGCCTGGGAGACAAGAGTCAAACTCCATCTCAAAAACAAACGAAGAACCATACAATGGCAATGTCTAGGAAGTAGGAATGAACTCTAGATAGTAAAAAAAAAAAGGGAGAGAGAGCAGAGACCACTTTTCGTTTTATATCCCGATGTGTCCCAAGCATCTGGTACGTAGCAGGATCTTAAAGACTGAATAAATAAATCACCTTCTATAAGCCAAACGCCATGCAGGAGGCTTTGCCACTCTGCTTTCATAGAAGAGTCAGAGATCCCTCCAACATGCCTTTATCTCTTAGTGGGTGGGCTTTATAGAAACCGAACTGACACCAGGCAGATGAGCAAGAGAAAAGTATACACATTTTCTTGGTTTCACCTGCGCATGGGCATCTTCGCAAGAGGGTGAAACCCAAGTGGTGAAAACAAGATGCTTTTGTACTTTTTAGTCAAATGACGAAATTGGGAAAAGGCAGGAAAAAGAAAATCTGGCTGGGGCAGTACATTTTCTAGGGGAGTTACTAGGAGATGTAAAGGGGAGTGAAAAAGAGGTTGGAGATAAGGACACATCATTTTTTTTGAGACTGAATCTTGCTCTGTCACCCAGGCTGCAGTGCAATGGTGCGATCTCCACTCAGTGCAACCTCCGCCTCCCAGGTTCAAGCAATTCTCATGCCTCAGCCTCCCGAGTAGCTGGGACTACAGGCGCGTGCCATCACGCCCAGCTAACTTTCTGGATGTTTTTAGTAGAGATGGGGGCAACATGGGTGACATAATTAAGTACATTTATTCAGGTGCTTTGCAGGCTTCCATTCCAAGTCTGTGGTGACAAGGCTGTTTTCTCATCCAGGTATGAGAAATCTTTCATGCTTGCTACATGCAGGAAGAGACAGGTCAGCAAGCTCTTTCTCAAACTACAGTTTCTCCAATGTTTACAACTTGATATAATCAGGATCCCAATCTGGTATATTTTGAGATGGGATGTCCCTCATTCCTTTATGTCCTTTAATTTTCCTCTATCTCCTTGAAAACGGACTGATCCTTGTATCAGTGAGGACAGGCTGACTTGTGCTATGGTAACAAATAGCCCTCCCAACTTGGCAACTCATAACAACAGATTCTTATTCACACCACATTTCAAATTGCTGATCAGCTGATAGCTTAGTGCCAGATTTTCTGATTCCAAGACACAGGAAACGGAGCAGTCACTCTTGCTAGTCTCAGGGATGCAGAGAGAGAGAGAGAGAGAGAGAGAGAGAGAGAGAGAGAGAGAGAGAGAGAGAGAGAGAGAGCGCGCGCAGGTGAATCTCAAGCTGTCTCTCAGCTCACAGCCAGAAGTGACCCAGTTCTGTTGTGCCTCCGTTTTGCTGGCGAGCGTGTTATCTGACCATGTCTATTAAAGAGGATGGGATAGGAGGAGTGCCACTCTATTAAGTTTCTGGAAGAAAACATAGAATTTCTAAAGAGTCCTTGTTTCCTTACAAGGGAAACTGAGGCTCTTGATAAAGTCACTCGGCCAGGTGTTCAGGAATTGAATACTGATCTGTCTCACTCCAAGGCACCTGCGCACACTTTGTCTTTTCGGTCACTTCTTTCTCATGTCTTCACGGTGCCCCAGTAAGGCTGGTCTTTGTAGAAGATCTGCTTTTTCCTAGATTTGAATAGTCTGAGTAAACAAAACCAAGTTGCCATTTCCTATAAATATCAAACACCAGGAATTCTCTCCCAGGCAAGAAGGTTCTCTCCAGAACCACGGGAATCGCTAGTTGGCAAGGCCCCAGGTGACACCAAGAAGTTGGCCTTTGTCACTCTGATGTGGCCCAGATTTCCAAGCTGTTGAGATCCACGTGCCAAATGATGTCAGGATTTGTTGCGGAGAAGCTATCCTTGTAATCCTGGGAGATAATCTCTATTCTCTAGGAGAGGAAGAGAGCTTGC